TCCCAGTTCTGCTTTCTCAGAGCTATCGTGTAAACCACACGGTGGGACTGCATTATCTTTTCCTGATGAACTCATGTGGTAAAAGGAGTTGGTTTCCGCAGGTATGTCAGAGGCCTCTGAACATGCACAGGAAGGGGGTAGTTACAGATGCTTTCTCAAAGCCAGCTTAAGGAGTTTTATTGGCACTTTTGAAAGCACAATCAGCTGCAGCGTGGGTCAGGATTGAGTGGCTGGAGGAGGAGGATGGTGTCTGACTGTCTTGGCTGCTGGAGGAACTGCTTGTGTGCCACCTTCCTTAATTGCTATTACTCTTAGATCTGTTTTACTTAAGTGCCCCAGTAACAGATGTAAATGCTCCAACATGATCCTTGTCCAAAAGAGTCACAATTCTAAGTTAATGATTTGATGACTTGAAGCTGTCTAATTTATTAAGAAGAAAATATTACGACTCTTAGCCCATACCAGTTAGCCTGTGTTTAGGCTTGGGAAAAGCTCAGAGGTAACAGGGTTGAAGAGAAAAGAGATGTAAGAGTATTGCAGGGGATACTTTTTGCATTTGTTTACCCTCAAGTCAAAATGATTTTGTTAGTAACTTTTCTCTTGGTTGTTAGTATGTTATTACCGCTACGGTATCAGCATTATGAGTTCAGCATGAATAAATTTAGAATAGCGTGTTATAGGAGGCTTTGAAATGTTTTTTTGCCAGATACGTTCCTGCAATTCTTTCAGTCGGTCATCATACCGTCTCCAGCATTGGAGGTTTTAAATGGCTTGTGGCCAGTAATAATTCCTTCCGTATTGCAGAAGATTTGCATGGCTTCATGAAAGCTGAGTGCGAAGTATTTTTGGGTATTGAAACTCCCTATGTGTCCATCACATTAACTATACAGTTTCAGGATATTTGGAAGGAAACTGGCAGTGTTGGTTAAAATACATTCATGTTTAAGGAAATTACAACTGTGGTGGGATCTGTGTACTATTTACAAGTTTTTCTTGCAAACAAATATTTGTGATCCTTTCACTAAATAGCAGATGAGTAACATTGGAAGTAGTGCTCCTTCAAACTTAAAATCAGCGTTTGAGTGAAAAATAAAATATGCTGAGATAAGATGAATAACTGCTGTTTTCTCATGACTCATTACGCATGACTGATGGCCGAGTATTCCATTTCCCAATGGCAAAGATAGATGCATTTTTCTTAATTGAAGCAAGTCTCCCTAATCTTTTGAGAAGCTGAGCTCATTATTCACTGAGAGTAATTCTGATGCTTCTGCATGGCATCGTAAGGTATGTGTTTCAAAAATTATAGCAAATACTGCAATACATAGAATTGATTAGCTATGCTGAGAGTATGAGACCCCCAAATTGAGAGAATTCTGGAAATTGCCATTTTTACATCTGTGAAAGGGAACTTTTAGCTTCCTGTAATAGACTGAGGAGAACTACCAGATACTACCGGTAGTCACACTCCTCCTGCAAGTGAGTGTTAAGGATCTTGTGGCATTTCTTACGAAAGTTGTATTTTGCCCATTGTCTGGACGAAAATATCACCCGATGCCTGATGCTCCACAGTGTACTTTCTGTCTACATACAAGGTGATTTCTCCCGTCTTTTACAAGTGTTTTTTATTTTTTAGACACATACATATATGGTGATTCTACAGGGGTTTTTTTCAGCCTGTAAAGCACAGTTGTAGTTGTTACATACTGCGCACATGCGCCTTGGTGGGATGGTGACTGATAGAATAAGCATGTTTCATGTGTATGTATTCTTGCATAGTAGTTTAGCACAAGTAAAGGAGGGTGTCTGAGTCAGACGGAGCTGTCATTCCAACATGTTGCAGTTGCTTGTGTAAATCCCCACTTACTGAAATGCAAAATTACACCTTTATCCACATATACTAGTGTAAGATATTGTAATGACTGCTTTCGGTACATTTGAGGGTAATTTGTCATGCCTTTTGCATATCACTTGAAAGGGCAAATCTGGTAGTTGTTCACTAGTGGCTTCTGCAAACTCTACAAGTAGCAATGAGGTCATGAATCATGTGAATTCTTTCATATGTTTTGAAAGAAAAGGCCACTTTAGGCAGAGCATAAATGCAACCATATGCCCATACCTTGGAGTCTTCACTGAAATTTGACAATAAAATTGCTGCGCATATGATTTGTTTTCTGAAGAAGAAACTCTGTTGCTTTTAGAGCAGTAGTTGTAGCAGCAATTAACTTGCTGGTTTTTTCTAGTTAAGTGTAAAAATGTTTATCGAGTACAAAATTGGTAACTAGATTGGTATAAGTAAGATTTTGGTAATTCTTAAAGACAGTGCATGCCTTTGTTTCCTTTTAGAAGAAAGAGGCAGCAGTTAAAACCAGAAGAAATCTTGTTACAGTCTGTTCAATAGGAGAAAAATATGCAAAGTGGAACTGTTATCCTTTTGTTAATCTTAGTAGAACTCTTACATTAATGAGGAAATATCTATTTAGATTTGTTGAAGAACCATTTTGTATTGAGAAAAATCTTTACAGCACAGTTTACTTTCCTGTTGAAGGAAAAAAAAAGTGCAGGCTTTCCCTTGTTAACTTTTCCACCGTGATCTTGATAGTCAAAGCTGAATGATTTGGCTTTTGGAAATAATGTGAAAATCTCAATTAAATGCCATCTCCCAATATTCTGCATCTCTACAAAGAGGGTAGTTTGCAAAAGTTGCTTCAGGGGCTGAAAGGAATACGCCCTTTAGCACTTAAAATCTTCAGCGCTGTATGCGATTACAGCTGTTAGTTTTAACACGATTCCTCGGAAAGATTACTGAGAAATCTGTGGGTTTGTGCACCAGCAGTGATGTCGGTTGTCATGATTCGGAGTTCTTCTGCATGTAGGAAAAGCAGATTGTTTCCTTCAGTCAGAGTATGACCAGTGCAGATAGAACAGAGCAAGAGAAGATCATGTCACCCCTAAATATCTAAAATGCAACCAACAACACTACTGGATACATAAATGTAGTAGGTAGCAATTGTGATATTTAAAATAGTGAGGGTGTTTCCAAAACAATAATGGCAATACATCCACTAAAGAAAGTGCAGGAGGGAATTGTCTTCTCTGGAAACATGATGATTACTAGAGGGATTTATTGAATGAACTCTGTGCATCAGAATGCGATCATTGCACATGAAGGGAAAACTTTAAATCGGTATTGAAATAGGAGAAGGAAGGAAGCAACAGTTCTCTGTTTGGGTGAAGCTAACCAATTGCACTGGGAGCATAAAATTAGGCAGACAAGAAAAATGGTAGATAAGGGAGGAAGAAGCGAACAGAGAAAGAAAAGTCTAAATTAGAGAAAATGACCTTGGCAGTACGTGCCAGAGCGTTTGGGAGCTGACAGACTGGGCTCGCTTTCGAATGGGAGCGAACTAGCAGCAGGCTGTGTAACTGCCGCGCGGGCGGGAAGGCTTCCTCTCTGTCAGTAAATATGACTCAGAAGAGCCCCGGGAGCACCTAAGAGCAGCACTCGTGTCGCTGTTAGTCACAGTTCGGTTGAAGTGCTCGTATTGTTCAGTGCGATGGTGTAAACGTGGTAGTTGCTTAAACTGCGTATTTCAGTGGTAGAACTGCCTGCATTGTGTCTGCTCCCGCCTCTTTCAGCAGAATACGAGAAGTCTTTCAAGGGAGGGAAGCGGTCCCTTGTTTTGCATTTTTTGGAGAGCATTTTTTTTGAAGCACTGAATGTGGCAGGTTATTGCAGCTGGTGAAACTAATGGAGCTATATGGAATAATGTTTGTGTAGTGAAGCCTTCCACCAGCTGAGAATGTGGCCCTGATACTATTTGGGTCGCATGATAGTTACAGGCTGAGGTGCCAACTATCCATTCTGTAAACATTAAATAAAAGTATCAATACTAAAATGTCTTAAAAAGCAGCTAGCATGTATTAGATGTTCCCAGAATCGAAGTATTGCTTTAAAATTTAAGTATATACATGTTTTTAAGTATTTACCTGTGGCATTTGTGTACCTGAAAGCAGCCTGCATGTGTACAGGTGGAGAAAGTAGATAACAGTGTCTTCTACTGTGACTGATATTACTATGACTGACCGTCCTTAACTTCCTCTTTAAAATGCCATCAACTCAAACTGTTTAACAGAATCGTTTCTTTAAAGGAGAACTTAACGTTACTTTTTTTTTAATACAGGGGTGCAATCATAAGTACCAGAGTTTTCTCAGTTTTGTATTACTGCTAACTTTACAGATGCACCAAAGAAAAAAAAATGCATGCTGCAGTAAAACCTCAACTTTTAAGAAGTGTTAAAATGTGTGTCAATCTACAGATTAAATTATGCTAGCGTGTTATCATGTTATAAGTCTCTTTATTCCAGAAAAAGCTAAAGTAAATGTTTCCCACATAAAAATACCGAGGGGAGATTTATTTGGAAGTGATGTAACGTACTCTGCCATCTTGCATTGTAGTCTTTCTCCCCAGAATCTTGATCCTGAAAACATTTACAGAAAAGGTTACAGAAGGGAATTTCACAGGAAAGAAAATGTGTTTTGGAAGAAGAGACACAAAATTGTTGCTTAACTATTCTGGAAGTCTCTTGCTGATTGTTAAAATGATGTTGAGAGGCGTTTCGGCCTGGCTGCAGGAGGGCCTCTGGGGCAGTCTGAGTGTGTGTGTGTGTGCACCCTCCCTCCCGAGAGTGCCAGCCGTGCCTGCCCCAGGCTGGAGCACCAGCGCTCTCTGCCCCTCCAGAGAGAGGACGGTGCCCGGCTGCCGGGTCCACAGCCCTCCTCTTAATTCCTCTTGGTTCTGGGGGATTGTTGAATTGAGGGGGGAAGAGAATGATTTTGATGTTAAAAATTAATTCATTGGTTACTGTTTGAAATACAAAGTCTATGCCTTAAAATTGATTATTGTTTTAGTCGTGTGCGTAATACACTTAAGAAATTAACTAAACTGATAATAATTCTAAATCGTTTTTTGATTGTAAATATGTGTTTACTAATGCAGGCAAGAAGACAACAAGACCCTAGTCCCGGATCTAACCTAGGAAGTGGCGATGATCTCAAACTACGTTAATCGACAGCAGCAGGCGTACCGTGGGTCTGCACACATGCATTGCTTCTACTTGGCAAAGGATTTAATAAAAGACCAGAAACTGTGATAACTGGGTATACTATGGTCTGTTTCCTGACCTGCGGCAGTCAAAATCACCATGAACTGCCATGGTTTGCACTATGTTTATGTTACAATACCTGCATTTCCCATTTTAAGCATGTAGCCAGTGGCAATTTGAAATTTTGTTTTTCTATGCAAACTTATTTTTGTTGGCACTATTTTAGTGAAATGGAAACTTATGCAGCTATAAAACCATTTTTCTCAACTGTAATAAAAATTGTCACTTAAAAATAGGTCAAGATATTACAGATTTAAAACTTCTTTTTTTGGTTTGTGTTTTGTTTTTTTTTTTTTTGTAAACTGCTGGAAGCCAATGCATTCCAAGCTTAATTTTTTTAATATGGGCTTTTGGAATTTTGATTGTCCTTATTGTGCTCCTGCTTTATTTTAGATACGCATTCTTATCTTTCTTTCAGTTTTCTTTTTTTCTAAATTTGCAAGACCTTCTTAAAACTGCTGACATTATTTTGCATTATTTCCAAGCTAAACCCAGTGAATCAGAGCTGTTGGAATCAGTTTTCAAACTTTGTGGGTTTGTAAACGTTACAGTTGCAGTATTCTTTTAACTGCTAACAATTCATTGGTTCCACTTTTTAAATGATAAAATCTTAAAATATATATTTTCATGCATTAATGCATTCTGCCCCGGTATCTGTCTTAGATTTTATTCTGTATCAAGTGAGTTTGGGTGGTTATTATACCCCTGTATATAGTACTTTACTGAAACTCATAGGAAGTCGCAGGCTGGCTTCTGTTTTATTCAGGGATTTTTTTAAATAGTTCTTAAAAGGGATACTGCAACTCTACAATCAGATTCAACAGCGTGTTAAACTGGGAACAAAAGTGATCAGCTGCCAAGGTGATATGTATTAAATCATGTTTAAGATAGCTGCTTTAAGTATATTTTATATCTTAGGCTTTTTGTAAAGTTGTGCTGAATGGTGAAAAGTTGAGATGAGGTTGTGTGCAGAAAATCTCATACTGTGCATAGGACACTTCTATTAAATCTTATGCAAATTAAGACTACATTGCAGTATATATTGCATTTTCTAACAGGGTAAGATTTGGGATGAGTTAATCTGTGTGAATTATCTTGTTTTATTTGGGGTGATGGCGAATGGACTTGTTCCAAATTTTTCATTGCATCCAATATTTGAAGAAAATCGATTGGAAATGTGATGTCATTTGGCTTTGTTAAAATGTGGTGCTTCCTGTACAGCTTGATTAATTAAAATGTCACTTAAATACCTTTTTAAAATAGGTGATCTGACTTCAGTATTTTAAGAATTATTTTGAAGGTAGAAACTCTATACGGTAGAACAGTTAAATCTCTATTAAATTCTATAATTAAGATAATTACATTCCTCATTAATGGCAAAACAATTGATGCAAAAGAGGTCTTGCAAAAATGTAAGCAGATGTCAATGTGAAGGAGAATCTTTGTATGTTAATAATATGCATATTTAACATTCACTTAAAAATGTCAATAACTGTAAACTGTGAGAATGTCATCAAATAGAAATATTTTGATACTTCAATTTAAATGTGATTCACCTGGAAGATAATCTTTTTCACTCTGTGGCCACGTGTTCTTCTTGCTCTTCTTCCCCCAAAGAAATAATTTTTCTAAAGTGTTTCTGCAATGAGTTATTTAAGGGAACACGCACGCATCTGCACGCATCCCTAGCCTTGGATCTTCTCTGCCATCTGTGTATTTTTGATGGAATAGTCTGAAGATTTATTTTAAAAGGTTTTCCTAACGTTTCAGACAGTGGTTTTAAAGCATAAGTACACAGGAAATTATGCTATCAGATATTTACGTTGCTATCTTTGTGTAAATACTGAACTTTCCCTATCATCATTTAGCATTCTGCTGCTTTCGATATCTTAATGCTGGCATTAAGATCACAAGCCCTTACCCTCTGCTGGTTAGTGCAGACTTTTTAAAGTGCATTTTAAGTTATTGATGCAATTTGATATTTTTCATAATTTCTATTTAAACTGAAGTTGCATCATCTTTCTTGAATTCATCTCCTGTAAGAGTTGCCTTAAGCTACAAGATTGCTTTTGCTACTTTTTGTGTTGTATGTTTAACTTTCATAATAAACTTCTGTGTAGTGAAAACACGTTCCTGTACGTTTATTTCTGACATCCTGGTAGTCCACGCTGACATGTTAGGTGTTTCTGGGGTGACGATCCAGCCTGCTGCCAGCGGAAGGCTGCCTCGGTGTGCGTGGCTAAAGCAATAGTGACATCCAGTGGCCACCTAACCAACCCCAACACCCCCGTGTTCAGGGACTGTATTCACGGCACGCTCAAAACTTCTAACGTAAGGGCATACGTTGGGGAAAACGTGGATTTTGCTGCCCTAAAACTCTTGTGGCTTTTTATGACTGACATGCCCTGCTTACTCTGAAAGCATGTATCTGCTTAAATAACCCTAAGAAATTTTCCTTTAATCTTACTGCGTTGTAATGGTTGTGCGCGCTTGTGGAAGAGCATTGTTTATGGGCATGTGTTTATAGCAGCCGTTAAACCTTGCTAATTACGCTGCTTTGGATGAGGAGGAAAACAAGGTAGTTTGCACGTTGAAATTGAGGAAATGGGGAAATGTGGTAAAATACTGTGGGGGGGGAAATATGAATGTTACATGCTACACCTGAAAACCTCTTCTGAAGCTGCTAAAATTTTTGGTGCTGTAACTTCAAATATCTAATGTTGAATGCCGGTGGTGGTTATGCACTGAAACCGTGTAGAGGATTGCCGCCTTCATACCTTGAGACCTGCAGTCTGCTTTGGAAGTGTTTATGTGCTAAAGGACAAAGTATAACCTTATTTCATGCTTTTAAAATCTGACTCTAAACAGATCAGAGTGCCTGATAGAAACGGCATTGACTGTGCCCTGTGCTGCTTCTGAAGGCACTCTAGTTTGGAAGGGAGGTAGCTTTTAAAACAGACATAAATGACGAACTGTTCCTGACGGCAGACGGTATCTCTGTTAGCTGCTGTAGGCTCTGCCATCAAAGCAGTTCATTTTGAAAGGCGTTTAAAGAGCAGTTAGTAAAGCCGTTAGATAACTCGTCAGTTTACCGGCAAGTTCATGGAGCGATTCACTTTTCTGCCCAAGGTGCATCACAAGTGGGTGAGCACCTTATTCCTAAAGCCTTTTCTTGAGTGGAGGCGCTGAAGGACAGAGGCGCTTTGTCCCCTGGCTCCTCTGGGGCTGGGTTTGCCTCTCGGGTGCATAAATAGCAGAGGGAATCTCAAAACCTTCCTGCATGAGGCACCTATGGCAGAAGAGGATTTTTAAAAATCCTGTCCCTCCGTTAGCATGACTTAGGGATGGCTGTGTTCACCTGGGGAGTGAAAGACAACTGGAAATGCTGGAGCTTTCCGAAACAGAGAAGGATGTCGGTGACCTGGAGCTCCACCGGAGCAGGGGAGGTATGGTCACTTCTGGCTTGCCTTTTTAACCTCTTGCAGTTGCACGGCCTCTTCCTAACTTGAGAGGATCCAGCGTATTAACTGTTCAGTCCATTTTACTTAAGTTTCCTAAACCTGAATGAATGGGTTTCCTCGTCTCTCGTGAAGGAAGTGGCAGCTATCGGCTGTCCTGGTCTGGGCTCCTGGTCCCCCTTCTGAAAGCAGGAAACTGAAAATGAAACTGTGGCTGAAAACAGCAGCTTTTCTGTTCCTGCAGGTCTGTGGTGTTTTGTCTAATAACGAGCCTTGTTCAGGTAAGGGCTGGGAAGTTAAATGAAGGAGAATTGTTTTCGAGAACTCCAAAACTGCGTGGCCTGACAGGATCTGGGCAGGACTTCTGTTTTTTTGGTTTTGTTTTTTTTTTTTTTGTCCACCGTTAGGTCAGGACTCCACTCTCTTACCGATGTATTTATGAATCCATCCTGTCTGCATAGAAATAGCATCAATTTCTGTAAAGTTACGTTATTTTGTTACTACATTTCCAATGCAAATAAGAGAATGACAAAAATGGCTTCGAGGATGAGAACTGCAGTGAGAAGTTACAGCAGAGCGAACATTTGCATCGGCAGCATTTCTCATAACTCATTTGCCTGACATCCTGCCTTCGCACTGCCACGAAATGTAAATCCCAGGACATGCATATTCATCAGCTGCTGCACCGCTTGGAGCTGCTCAGGGTTTAAGTAACTTTATTAAAAAGCTTTCTCAATTACAGGTTGAGATAAGTGAATTTCCAGAATTGCCTCGGGCAAGTTTCTTAAAGCTCGGGAGTGAGGGGAAAAAAGTAACGCAGAAGAGCCAAGTGCCGCCTCGGCCGCTGCTGTCACCTTGCAGCGGGTGGCCGTGGAAAAAAACACCTGTGGGAGGGGAAGAAGTTGGAAATGGGAATGTTTCTTGTTTAGCATTATGCTCCTGGTCCACAGTTTATCGCAGCTGGTGAGACTTTTGCTAAGTTTTTTGTTGCTCCCCACAACTCTTCTGATGAGTAACTTGGTGGTTTCCAGCCTGTTAGACCTGACAATGGCGTCTTGGGGGACGTGGGTTTTCCCGGTGCTCCACTTTCCCTTGTCCCACAGGCTGCAATTTGCTGGTTTTCACTGGAACTGGTGGCCTTTCATCCTTTGCAAGCCTCTCTAGCAGGTGACGCTATGCAGTCCCGTATTGCTATGCAGTCCCATAGCAGGTGATGAGTTAGCTTGAAAACAGAAAAACCTTCTAGAGCTGGAGAAAAGTTTGCGCCTGAAAGCACCTCTCTCTTTTCCAGCTGCTGGCCGCTGTTTGCTGAAAGAGGCTGTCCCTGTGAGCCTTGCCCGCTTGCATCCCCAGACCCTTTTAGCTACAACAGCACTGGGTTTGCTGTCCACACCGTGCAAAAGTCCAGCAGAATATAGGCCTAGAAAAATGAGCCGTGTAAGATAACAAACTTTTTGGCTGCTGGATGCGCTTGGCCTTCATAGCTTCTTCCGCGAATACGCTGGTACCGAAGCACACGGCTGGGGCGATGGTGCCGCTGCTGGGATATTTCGGGAGCGTCTCGGGGCTTTGGCCCTGCGTGGCAGTGATCGTGGCTCCTTGGGCAGATCTCAGACATGAAGAGCTGAGGTCTGCGCAGGGGGAAGTAAAGCCGGTTCATGGAAGAAGCCAGGCGAAGGTGGATTTAACCGCGGAGGTTGGTAAGGCTTTGCTTTCGGGAAGCGAGCAGGTACCCGTGCGCCTCAGCTTGGAAGAGAAAATGGGGGTGGGAGGGAGGGAAGGGGGGACCTGCCGGGACAGCCACCGTTTCCTTCAAGTCCAGAGCTGAGGTCTGCGCAGGGGGAAGTAAAGCCGGTTCATGGAAGAAGCCAGGCGAAGGTGGATTTAACCGCGGAGGTTGGTAAGGCTTTGCTTTCGGGAAGCGAGCAGGTACCCGTGCGCCTCAGCTTGGAAGAGAAAATGGGGGTGGGAGGGAGGGAAGGGGGGACCTGCCGGGACAGCCACCGTTTCCTTCAAGTCCAGCGGGCACCCTTGCGTTCGCCCTCGCTTCAGGTTGGCCAAAGTGGTTGTGGCTCTTGGCTTGAGTCTTGAGCAGAAGAGGGGACATGTGGTACTGCTCGTAATTAGCGCAGCGGTTCTGGGTGCCAATTAGTGGGTTTGATGAGAGCAGCAGGAGGGATATCCCTCTGCCCGAGCAAGGGTACCGGCGCCGGAACGCCCTGCGTGAGCCTGCTTTCTGGCCC